AGTCTCGAGGGTAGCAACCGAGGCGGTGAATCGTCCTACGAATTTAACGCACATGCGATAAATAACAGCGACAGCGGCAACGACAGCAGCACAACGGCGACATATGCGCGCCTACGGGGAGGGGAGAGGGGAGGGAAGTCGGCGAGGGTGACGTCCGACTTGTCTCACCAGTTTCACCGCTTTCGTGAGTTCCTGCAGGATCCTGGTCTTGGAGAGGACCTTGTCGGTGCAGAGATCCATGTCCTCGCGGCCCGGCATCTCGTCGCGCGCACTCACATGATCGTCGCCGAGGTAGCGCCAATACCGAGACCCGCTGCGAAAAACGCCGGAGAGACTGCGGCGAAACAGGCCGGACGCGGCGGCGCGAGCGGCACCGACGACGACGACGCGGCGGGCCGACGGTGGCGGTGCGGCGCCGTTGACCGCGCCGGCCGCACTCATTGATTTTAGCGACGCGCAGGTCACCCGCGACATTCAAGCCGTCGTTTCTCGATCGGCGCCGAAGACTAACGGCGGCGAGCCGCGTGCCCGACACTTTATGCGTGCTCCTCTCCTCTGCTTCTCCTTCCCGGTTTCTCGGCGGATCGTAAGGGTGGTCCACGATACGCGCCAGACGCGACGTTAGAACTGCCTCACGTGGCTCGAACGAGAGAGCTGCGCGCATTTTCCGAGATGAACTAATCGTCGTGCGATTCGACGCAGCCGAGCATATCGATACCTCGAAACGAGCGACCACGACTCCCACGGCGATACCGGCTGCGTTCAACGAACGCAACGGTTGTCGTTGACTTTTGGGCGACGCATGTGATTGGCAGATCCGCGAGCACGCGCCAATTATAGATTACTGTCGCTCCATGGTTGCGTACGTAATTATTGCGCTCGTCGAACGCGACCATTAATGGCTCGTGCCGCTCGGATTTGATAAGCCGTTCGAGAAGTCGAGTGTGTGTTCGGGACGAGGTGAAGATTACGAAAGTGAGCGAATTTGTTGGAGTTTGGTAATTCCACCGGTCGACACCTGATGAATTTGCTTGCTTTCATAGTTCCCACAACGTTTCGAGATACGTAATCGACCCCATGTTTTCTTTGCTACTTTGACCCACCGAAGATTAGTTTTGCGTGCGAGGATTATCGCACCGGGAGTGTCGTTCGTCAGCCTCGCCCGTTTGGCAATAAACGATTGCTGAGAGGGAACATATCGCGGAACGGCCCGCCGAGAGAGTATCAGGGCTGAGACATGATGAAAGGAACAGGAAATCAAATCTAGAAAGCAACACGTCTTGTAGACGTCTTATGCCTGTTCCTATCGTGAAGCTTTAAATCTAATTGGCGATTAACTCAACGGAATTGACCAATCGCATTGGCCAGTTAACTGAACTGATCAATGGGACTGGCCAATTCCGTCGAGTTAACCGTCGACTAGATTTAAATTGTAATAGAAAAGGGGCATTATTGTCTAAAAAAACGTCTTTACGACGTCTTATGCCCTTATTCTACCATTTTATTTTAAATCTAATCGACGATTGACTCAACGGAATTGACCAATCGCATTGATCGGCAATTGTCAATGTGATTGGTCAATTCCGTTATGATTTAAATTTAATAGGCGATTTACTCGAGTAATTTAAATTATAATAATAGAACCGGGCATTAGTAGCTGACTGGAAATTAACCTTCAAAATATATCTTAATCATTAATATGTATAAATGAAAGTCAGTTTAAATCAATCGATAATTATCAAGGAAATGATTAATGATGACTTTGCTCACTGGGAAGTGAATACTTCGCTCGTCGAAGGTATCGAGTGAAGTTATCCATGCGTCGATACTTCGATAATCGCAATTGTACACCGCCACCGTTGACACTTTCAGTTATGTGGCGGCTCATGGCGTGTTTGTACGGATTCGAAAAAACGTCACGTAATTCTAACGAATTCTGCTCTCTGAACTGAGCCTCGCGCGCCGGGAGTGTCGAAAGTAAGTGTCGAGCGTTCACTGCAGCGAAATATCGTCGAGTCGCCCCTGAAAATACACGTATTTCGCGGAACAGACTGTCGGGAGTGTCGAGCAAAGTGTCGTGCGTTCGTCGTGCTATGACCGTTAGGAAATCGTATCTCTGTTCTTTGCGTTTTCGACTCGCCGAGTAAGTCTCACGCACGAATTATGGTGAAAATGCCGAGAGTAAGTCTCGTATGTGACGAAATATGCCACTAAACAATCGCGTTTAACTGAACATCTCGCGAGACCGGCCGTCGGATAAAGTTTTATGGGTTATGACAGTTTGGAGCCGCGGCGTCCAAAGTTTTCGACTCACCAAAAAAAAGCTCGGTGAGTACAGATAGAGCAACAACTACAATATAGATGCCTAGATAGCACGAACGTCCAAAAAACGCGAGGGAAACAGTCGTGAAGCCGAAAGATATCCTAAATATTTTAGACGTCTTTTGAGCATCTTTACGACGTCTTTCGGATTTTTATGCTATCTGAATGCTTTCTTCCTTTTATTTTGAGTTAAAAATACTTCTGAAAGATCTAGGAGCATTAGAAAATCCGTCACCGGATCTATGAAAATCTCGTTTTGAACTTATCGACCGTTCCGATCAATACCTGATTTTTCGTTCACTTGTTGTGCTATAGATGGCGTCACAGTTCAAAATAATGATGTCGAAGGCGAAGTAACCAACTATGAAATTACAAACGATATCTAATAGATAATATTTTCGTATTTATTTGTTTTTACGTTTTATATTCTTGCGTTTCATTTTGATTAAAAATTTACGTTCAAGAAAATCATTCTAACAACAGTCAAACGAGGAAGATAATATACTTTTGACACAAATAAATATAAAATTTCTGTAAAATTTAGATTTTCTCATTATCGCAACATTACTTATGATATGAATACATATTAATTATGAGTGCGATCGTATACGCGAAATAGATGACGTCGTTTGTTTTACAATATCACGGTCACGAATTTAATTTCGATAATCCCCCGAGGAACCTGCCTGATCCTTTCCACCATTGCTTTCGCGAGGACTACCGTAGCGACTGCTCGAGTTCGAATGCGAATATTTATCCGAAGTGTGCTTAGACTTTGCCTTCGATTTGCTTTTAGTGTTTCGTACGCGCTGTGCAATCTTCTCGATGTATCTTTGATCCTTCTCGCTAATGCTAAAGCTAACATCGCCGCTCGCGTATTCCTTGATTTCTCTGAAATTGCAATAATCTTCCTGAAAAATTTATCGTTACACCACGTGGAATGTATCGGTTAAAATAAGATTTTCTCGAAAACGGAAACAATATTCGAGACTTCTTTACAAAATAATATGTCGATATTCAACATGCGTGTTGAAATAACATATTTTATACTTCAGTGTTGACTAACATATTAATTTTGTGTTAATTTTTAACATAATATTTATGTTACTTTTCAACATGTTCGCCTTAAATTAATATAAAAATTTAAGTGGGACGTATAAAGTGAGTTAAATTTAACACAAAACTTTTTACTGTCTATGTAAATGAGGTGCAGATAAATAAGAAACAATATGAAAAATATTATGTAAATAAACGAAAGACAAATAGGAGATAGTATAAATGACAAGCGAAAATAATATCGTTCGAATTAATAATTACTCATCTCCAACGCAATTTGACACAAATATTAAAAAGTATACGTGCATTTTTAACGATTTCGCGATCAGTAAATCACAACGTAACTGCGTTGAGCGTTGATGTCGTATCTCTCGATAAACGAATATAAGAAATACGATATATATCGTTATCAGAGGTAGAATAAATATAATAGAAAGCAAGACTCACTTCTGATATCGGTACAATTTCACGATTAACTTGTTCAAATATAACGTCTCTTTTTGCATTGCCTTTAGCTCCGATTCTTTTTCCTGAAAGTAAAAGATTACTGATACACGACTAACATTCCGTTCATGCCTCGATTGAGGTTCTTCTAAGATAAAAACGAAAAGAAGAATTTCCGAAGTGAACTTTCTCCCTTTAAATTCTCGTCCACATTATGCGCTTCTCGACTTTTGATACAAGCAATGTGCATTATGGTAATAGGTATCGTAACTAGTTTTAAAATATGTTTGCTCAGAATAGCACAGCGAAATATAACCTCATGAATATCCGGCGAATACCTCTTCGGGTATATTTCCGGACGTCGCGCGTGAATGTGCAAATGCGATTTATACGCAAATGTCTGGTTCCAGACGCTATGTGAATACAATAGAAACGCGTCAATGCTACAAATTATATCATCATTGTTTCCTGTGATCGGAAATCTATAAGAAACACCTACTCTGATCTGAGAGTTATTTGACGAAACTTTTCTTTGTCGACCTCTGTTATTCAATCAGTTTACATGTTTGCGCGCGAAGAATCTCAAAAGGCCGCGTTGTCGCATCAGATTATACTGCCCTAGTTCTAAAACTAAGCTTCCTATTTACACTAAGCTCGATTTTCAGTACTACCGTTAGGTTCTGCGTGACCATGCGGAGTTCATCCTGGTGAGTTTCGCAAAGATGATGTGCGGTGATCTTCTCCGCGGTCAGCCGCGCTAATTGCCGCCGGCAATTCTGCTCGCGCTCCATCGCTTTATCCCAGGCTTCCTCTCTGGCGATCACGGCGTCCCTCAAAGTCCGCATGTCCGTCTCCAATAACTCGAGCTCCGATCTAATCGCACAAGTGGAGGGTAAAGTAACCGGATAGAAGAGATATGAACAGCCAAGGGGTGAACCGCAAAGGAATTCCGTTGTGTAAACAGAGGCCGAGCTGATATTACTCGAACTCGCAGTATTATTTAATTTGCTATTTAATTGACTACCGTTGCATTAGCAGATGATAAGCTTTTGGTCGATAATTCATCCGTCGTATGTTGTTTGTTCTTTTTTTCTCAAACCCTGGATTTGAGGGCGCAGTTGCTCGGGGCGAATTATACGCGAGTGTATCGTAGAAATAATTTAAAGGTTTTATGTCGTCGGTTAATTAATCTTCGTGTTGCTCGGATTAAAAGTTAAATATACGCGAATGTAGGCGGCGAATGTCAACGTATTTCTGGTTGAGTTTCTAAATCGAGCTTCGGCAGTCTAAGCGTTTCAATAGTAGCGCTCGCATGTACCGGATTTAGAATATTCAGGCAGGAGTTTGAGCCACGGGAGATCTCGTTTAAACGCTCATTTGACCAATTTCTCGCGCAATTGAGGCGCGTAACCGATCTAACTAGCTGCAATTCCGTCGGGGAACTTACTTTGTGATAGAGACCGTAGGTGGCTCCCTTTGGCATCCCTCCAATTCTCTGCGGCAATCTTTGCAGGCTTCCCAAATTTGTATCCCACGATCGGTCTTCGGAACGACATCCATCGACGATGTGCATTTGTCTTCCGGACAGCTTTCGTCGTTTTTCTGAAGTTTGCATAGAGAATTCCGAATTCGCATATTTCATACTTTGAGCTACGTATATTTCACCCATCCGGCGAGCCGTTCG